AGGCCACAGTCTGTGCAACAAGCCGAGTTTTGCAATATAACCTTTGCATTGCAATACCATTCATGTGCAATGATCGCATTACTAATTGTGTTTTGCTTTGCATTTTAAAAACAATGATTTGCTAATTACTTTACAATAGGTCATGTTTAAAACAAAATAATTGATTAATCATGAATTTTGAATGGCATTTGTTTTCTGCAACCTGAGATATTATAGATTCAGAGATAGTAGGAACTGCAGATGCTGGAGAATCAGAGATAACAAGGTGTAGAGCTGGATGAACACAGCAGGCCAAGCAGCAGCAGAGGAGCAGGAAGGCTGACGTTTCGTGCCGAGACCCTTCTTCAGAAATCGGGGAGGGGAAGGGGTTCTGAAATAAATAGGGAGAGAGGGGGAGGCGGGTAGAGGAGAAGATAGGTGGAGAGGAGACAGACCGGTCAAAGAGGTGGGGATGGAGCCAGTAAAGGTCAGTGTAGGTGGGGAGTTAGGGAGGAGATAGGTCAGTCCAGGAGGATGGACAGATCAAGGGGGCAGGATGAGGTTAGTAGGTAGGAGATGGTGGTGGGGCTTGAGGTGGGAGGAGGGGATAGGTGGGAGGAAGGACAGGTTAGGGAGGCAGGTACGAGCTGGGCTGGTTTTGGGATGCGGTAATGGGAGGGGAGATGAGATTTTGAAGCTTGTGAAGTCCACATTGATAACGTTGGGCTGCAGGGTTCCCAAGCGGAATATGAGTTGCTGTTCCTGCAACTTTCGGGTAGCGTCGTTGTGGCACTGCAGGAGGCCCAGGATGGACATGTTGTCTGAGGAATGGGAGGGGGAGTTGAAATGGTTCGCGACTGGGAGGTGCAGTTGTTTAGTGCGAACCGAGCGTAGGTGTTCTGCAAAGCGGTCCCCAAGCCTCCGCTTGGTTTCCCCGATGTAGAGGAGGCCACAATGGGAACAGCGGATGCAGTATAACACATTAGCAGATGTGCAGGTGAACATTCTTGGGGCCTGGGATGGGGGTGAGAGCGGAGGTCTGGGGGCAGGTGTAGCACTTCCTGCGGTTGCAGGGAAAAGTGCCGGGTGAGGTGGGGCTGGAGGGGAGTGTGGAGTGGACAAGGGAGTCACGGAGAGAGTGGTCCCTCCGGAAGGCAGATAAGGGTGGGGAGGGAAAGATGTCTTTGGTGGTGGGGTCGGATTGCAGATGGCGGAAGTGTCGGAGGATGATGCGTTGGATCTGGAGGTTGGTGGGGTGGTACGTGAGGACGAGGGGAGTTCTGTTTTGGTTGTTATTGCGGGGAGGGGGTGTGAGGGATGAGTTGCCGGAAATGCAGGAGACACGGTCGAGGGCGTTCTCGACCACCGAGGGGGGGAAGTTGCGATCCTTGAAAAACGAGGACATCTGAGATGTACGGGAGTGGAATGCCTCATCCTGGGAGCAGATGCGACGGAGGCGAAGGAATTGGGAACAGGGGATGGCATTTTTGCAGGAAGGTGGGTGGGAGGAGGTGTATTCTAGGTAGCTGTGGGAGTTGGTGGGCTTGAAATGGATATCGGTTTCTAGGTGGTTGCCGGAGATGGAGACAGAGAGGTCCACGAAGGAGAGAGAGGTATTAGAGATGGTCCAGGTGAACTTAAGGTTGGGGTAGAAGGTGTTGGTGAAGTGTATGAACTGTTCGAGCTCCTCGTGGGAGCCGATACAGTCATCAATGTCACAGAGGAATAGATTCACATTAGATTCACAATTATAGATTCACATTGCATTGATAACAGTTTCAGGCACTACACAATGTGTAAATGATTGTGCCCGTTTTCGGAAATGTGGATAGAAATAGTCTTGTTTCTAAGCCCATATGCTTCACTCCCATAATGTGAATTTTTAGCTTCTGAGAGGTATTCACTGTTTATAAAATTGTATTGACAGAGAAATTGTGGTTTATGTGCCACTTTGATATCTTAATGGCAGGGTAATTTCAGTTTAATGGCACTGACCAGAGTGCAGACCGAAGTTTATCAAACAATAGGAGATCATTAAGTAGCAGTAGTCTCCTATTGTTTGGGCTTCTCATCGATTTGTACAATATTAGTGGAGTGGTTTTCAGAAATGTTCAAACTTCACTAACATTTACTTATGCCAACATTCATTGTAATTTAGTGTTTTGCTTTGGCTGGAACAAGATCCACCTGTTAGCAAGTGGAGATGTTCAAATTTGGACTGACATTATAAACAGTGTTTATAAACCTGTGGTATAATTGGATGACTCCTGAATAAATGTGAATGCAAGCTTAGCATATAGTTCTGTATTTTGGAAATGTGTTAATAATTATCACTAGTTTAGCAAACTTTCTTTTACAGTGAATAGGTAATTGTTTCTCAAACTGCAGTTCCTATCCTTGGTATCTGCACTAGGAAAGTCTATTTCATTGTATCAATAACTTTAGGTTCAAAAACATTCTAATTTGAAAGCTGTAATATGTGTAGAAATGTTTCTTAATCAAGTTTTAGGAAAAGTGTTCCTGTTCTTGCTGTCCAAGCATTATATCACAATGATTTAATGTTTAATTTACTTGCTATTTTTTATTATCTTAGATTATGGTAGAAAACTCCAATTTTGAACAAAGTCATAAATTTTCAAGTTTTATGTTTATAAAACGAATGTTTTGATCATATCTTTTTGCAATAGTGCTGTTAAAATATTTAGGTGTTAAACCACAAAAATAGGTACAAAGGCAAAAACATTTATCTAGTCAAATTAAACTGTTACCTACATATGTTCGAGCATTTGTGCTGGTTTTAAGGGTACACGTGCCCACAGCTAATCTATACAAGTGACCTGCAGAACACAACAATGGGAAGTGTATTTGTTGCACAAATATATACTTGAATTCCCATTCTTTTTGCATGCTGTGAGAGAAAGTACAGAACATCTTCAACCTCTCCCTCCTAAGATCTGAAGTCCCCACCTGCTTCAAGAAGACCACCATTGTCCCCCTACCCAAGAAAACACATGCAGTGTGCTTTAATGACTACTGCTCAATAGCTCTGACTTCAATAATCATGAAGTACTTCAAGATGCTGGTCATGGCCCACAACTCCAGTCTCCCAGCCTGCCTTGATCCCCTACAATTTGCCTACTGATGTAAGAGGTCCACTGAGGATGCCATATCACTAGCCCTACACTCATCCCTGGAATATCTGAACAACAAAGACACCTATGTCAGACTCCTGCTCGTTGACTACAGGTCAACTTCAGCACCATTATCCCCTCCAGACTGATCTCAGAATTGTGTGACCTTATTCTCCACTCCACCCTCTGCATTTGGATCCTCTGCTTTCTGACCCACAGGCCGCAATCAGTGAGGATAGGTAACTGCATCTCCTCCGCAATAACACTCAACACTGGAGCCCCCCCAAGGATGTGTCCTCAGCCCCCTACTGTACTCCGTGTACAACTACAACTGTGTTGCCAAATTCCGAACGAGGACCATATACAAGTTCACTGACGACACGTAGTGGGACAGATGTCTAACAACAAGTCAAAGTACAGAAGGGAGATAGAGGGCTTGGTGACATGGTGCAATGAAAATAGTCTTTCTCTTAACGTCAGCAAAACTAAAGAACGGATCATCGACTTGAGAAAGAAATGAGGACAACACGTCCCCATCTAGATCAACGGACCTGAGGTTGAGAGAGTAAAGAGCATCAAGTTCCTCAGATTGATGATAACCGACAATCTGTCCTGGACTTCCCATGTAGATGTGACAGTCAAGAAGGCACAACAATACCTCTTCTTCATCAGGTAGCTCAGGAAATTTGTCATGTCCATAAGGTCCCTCACCCAACTTCTACAGATGCACCACTGAAAGCATACTGTCCAGATGCATAATGGCCTGGTATGGCAACTGCTCTGCCCAGGACCGCAAGAAACTACAGAAAGTGGTGTGCACAGCCCAGACCATCACAGAAGCCAACCTTTCATCCCTGGATTCCATTTACACGGCTTGCTGCTGCAAAAAGGTAGCCAACATCATCAAAGACCCATTGCACCCTGGTAATGACCTCCTATAACTTCTTCTGTCAGGCAGAAGATACAGAAGTCTGATTACATGCACAAGCAGTTTCAGGAACAGCTTCTTTTTGGTCGTTATCAGACTGTTGAATGGACTCTAGCCTCAAATAATGTAACCTGCAAGCCTCTAAGTCTTTTTGATCTGTACATCATCTGCTTGCTGTGATATTCCTGCCCCGCTTGTAAACAAAGCTTTTCCATGTATTTTGTTACACGTGACAATAAATCAAATCAATCAATCAACTCCTAAATTTTGGTGAGAAATTATGGGGAATTTAAGCTTCTTTCCCAGAGCAAAATGCTATCATATCAAAAGCGAATTGAAGGCTGATTAAGTGTTGCAACGTTATTTATAATCTGCTTTTAACTATAAATTGTGCTTATTATTTTAAAGTTATTCTGATGCAAGTGTTGTGACTTGTGTATCAATAATAGTCATGTTACTGCCCCATATATTTTAACTGGACTTTTAAGGTTCATAATCATTATTTTCCATTCATCGGTGACTATTAGGAGTGTGAAACTGATGGAGAACTACTTGGAGTTAGCCCCACGGGAACATGTGCACTTTAGTTTCAGTGGAGCATCATGTACATTAGTAGAGGTTAAAAGGGACTTCTCATGATAAAACTGTATTACTGTATTGCTTTAATTTGCTGACGCACTACTTGGCTGTAATCAATGTTCTTTCATTAAGAAAGTGTCGAATGTATGACTATGTTGTGCATCACTGAAAGCTTTTTTAGCTTGGAGTTCCAGGTATTGTCATTCTTGAGCAATGAAGATTTTATTAATTGTACATGAAAGGTAGAATAGATATTAATATCAAATATTTTCACTTTGATAATAAAGCACAGCTTCTGTATTGCTAAGCTTTCTGTGTGAATGCTGCATAATGTACTGATGAGTTTAGCAGATATTTTTTCTTGTGTTCTTCCCTGAATGCAGTGGAAGCTTGGAAGGCAAACGGGAGCAAAAAAGCTATACAGCTCTTCTGGAGGATCCATTGCTCAAATTTTCAGGCTTGTACCAGGAAACTTGCTCTGATCTCTACGTGACAGGCCAAGTGTTTGCAGAAGGAAAACCTTTGGCTCTTCCTGTTCAGACTTCTTATAAAGCTTTCAGCACAAGATGGAAGTAAGTATATCTTGCTGTTGAGATTTGTGATGTTCAGTTGGATTTTTTTTTTCTTGGTTATCTTGATAAAGTATAAGATCTTTATCAGTTTCTAGAATATTTCATGTAAAATGAATGTCAACTTTTTAACTACTTGCATTATAATTTTAACCCTCAATCTTGATGTTTAACTCAACACTTTGCTGTTTGTTTAAAAGGAGTCAGAATTCTGACTGAAACAGCTTGGCGAGTTAGGATAAAATTTATCTTAAATAATTTTGTATTATAGAGGTGGATTCAAATTACTTAAGTTTTGAAACCTGCAAGTTTTTAAGATGTACAGACAGAATCTGGAAGAAAGTGCTTTGCCAGAAAAGCGTCAGTAAGTATCTGGCTGTGTGAAACTGCAGAACTTTTTTTTTTTAAAAATAAAATTCGATACTTGAATTGAACAGATTATTAGTTAGTGTGGCTCTGGTTCTGGACCCCAGACTGGGAAAATAATGGTCAAAAAATAGGTTGGGGGCAATTGAAATAAAATCAGCCATTTCAGTTTGCAAATAGAGTTCGAAAACGTAAAAAGTTATTTTAGACCAGTGTGTTTGTTGGAGGGTCAGAAAGGAAATGGAGCAGCAAAAGATTTGCACTTTGACAACATGCTAATAAAATCAGATTTCAAGAAGAAAGCTATCCACTACATTCCTGAGGACAGCTGGAGATTAACAATAAACGTCAATGTTAATAACCTGGCTAGTAATGTATTATTCCCTAAAAAAACTGCTTTTGAACATAATTGTTAATCTCCTGTTTGTCAAATAAGTTTTAGTTCATGCAAGTATACACCGTGTGCCGCGTGCATATCTTTCGTATTTTGTAGTTACCTGGTTCTATATAGTTTATAAGTGCTAAATTATACTTCAGTAAAAGAATTGATGCATGCTGAACTTCTAAATTACATTTTTGTGCTGGACCCAACCTCTGGACGTGGAAAAGCTTTTGTTTGATGCTGCTTATCCTTGAAAGTTGATATGGTTGAGATATCTTAAGACCTGCTAGTGTGAGTCTTGTTAAGAAATAAATCTTTAATGAATGCTGTATCATTTTTTAATGCTCATTTTTTGTTGAGGTGGAAATAATGTATCTATTTTTCTGCAATATTTTTCCTTTCTTTTTCTCCCTTTATGTACCCTTTGCATCCCACTACTTTTGAATACGGCCATTTTAGGACTTTGTTTCAATTTGTGTGACTATAACATATAGAACTCTAAGTCTTGAACACCAAGCTGTTGCTTCCTGTCACTGCTGATGTCTTTTTTTCTCTGGACGTCTCCCCTCCACAGCTTCCAACCTCCTTGTCCTCTAATCCCACACAGCCTTCTTTCTAAAGTCCACAAGCCAACTGCCCTGGCAGACCCGCTTGTTCCTGCTCTGCTGGACTTATTTCTTCCTATGCTGACCTTGTTTTTTTTTCTCACCTACTCTGGACTCTTCACGCCTACACTGATGATTGGTCTAATGCTTTATGTCCATTCCACGCTTTCGAGTTTCTTGGCCCCAGCTGCCTTCTGTTCAACAGAGATATGCCGTCACTCTATTTGTCCGTCCCTCATCTGGACTCTCCATCTTGACCTTAAAATGAAGTCTAAACCATTGTTTATCCTGCACCACCACCACCTTTAGCCTGGCTGATCTTGCTGTTAATTTGAACAGTTTCTCCTTTAACTCATCCCCACTTTCACCAAGTCAAAGGTCTGGCTTGGCATGATCAGAATGCTGGGTTATCCATTAATATTATCAATATCTAGGACAATGCAGAGTGGCCAACTGTTTCATTTCTTTTTAGTGGTTTTTTGATGCAACTCAGTGATTTGATCTGCCAACACAGCAGGTAGTTAAGAGTCTACCATATTGCCGTGGACCTGGAGTCATGTATAGGCTAGACCAGATAAGGGCGATAGATTACCATCCTTAAAGGACATTAGTTAGCTAGATGAATTTTTACGTCAATGGATATGTGTTGCCATTAGATAATATTTAATTCCAGTTTGCAATCAATTCAAATGTGACCAACTGGCATGGCTTGGTTTGAACCCACAACCCCAGCACATTAACCTAGGGCTCTGAATTACTCGTTTAGTGACATTACTATTATGCTACTGTCTCCCCATTTTCAACTATTACTTATACTAATACATGTCATATGTAGAATGCTTCTGTGCTTTTATTTGTTTGTTTGGTCAGTTATTTTCAGGACTTTTACCGTCAATGACCCTCTCCTTTCCCTTTTCTAGTTTTTAGGAAAAGTTTAGAGCTCTACATTTTAGTTGACTTGCTGAATATTGCCAACATTTTGTGATTTTATTTCAGGTATTCAGTTTTTGTCCTTTTAGGAGTTTTTATATGATGTCATATATTGAAATTAATTATTACGGATGTTAAGTCTTGTGCTCTTGATCTTTGGCTACACTTAAATGGGAGGTGATGGCTGAGTGTTGTTATCACTGATCTGTTAATCCAGACACCAAACCCAAAGCAAAGATATTGACTCTGAACTGCCCTCTGGGCTATTGGGGATGGTCAATAAATGGCCAGTGACTCCCTCATCCAGTGAATAAATAAAGAAAGCAGTAAAATCATTGTGATTGATTTCATGACAATACCATTACCAAGGAATGAATCTGTCATTAAATGGTGTGAATTTATTTTGTTGTTACTCATTTTTAAAATTGATGAGTGTTGCAGCTGAAATGTTCCAGCATTTCATGTTATTTATCACCTTTCTTAATAAAATAATATAAATAAATAACCATTACAAACAAACTTTTAAACAACTATATTAGTGGTTCAAGGCTCTTATCCAGTTTTTTTGAATCTCTTGCCTTCTTTGTGTTTTATTTTCAGTTTTTATATAATGTTTTAGCATAATTTTTCAAAAGAAAAGGCTAAATATAATAGTGGAAACATACATATTATTAAATAGATGAAATCAAAAAGGGCTGGACAGTTTTTGGTCGAAATATACCAAACTTATTTGTGCAAGTTAGTATCTTTAGGTTAAATAAACATATCTATGTTATTTTGCAGCTGGAATGAATGGTTAAAATTACCTGTGAAATATCCAGATTTACCACGGAATGCTCAAGTTGCTCTCACAATCTGGGATGTTTATGGACCTGGAAAAGCTGTCCCGATTGGAGGAACTACTGTTAGCCTTTTTGGAAAATATGGGTAAGATGAGGTGTCTGCTCATGTGGCTTTAGCATTTGGTTAAAAATAGTCTGAAATTTACTGCAGTGATTGTGTGGAGAAAGGTAACATACCAGTTCTTCTGAATTGTTTATGAATAACCCATTTGCATCAGAACACTTTACAACTTTAATTACTGTACTTCTGTTCTTTTCTCCTCCTACACAAAAATGTTTTAACAGATACAGCAAATGGATAAAATTATTTCAGTTTACAGAAAGTCACTGGAACCCTTTATTTCCATGTACGCTAATGAAAATTTCTATAGCTTAAATATTTAAGCACCGAGGTTAATAAAAAGGTGGCAGACAAAATATACGTGTGAATTTGTTAAATATTTGGCATTGACTCTGTCCAAATGGCCCCCTTCTGTGCTGTAAATGATCCAGGCCTCGATGACTCGGCGCAAGATTAGGTGAGATTTTTATGATGTGCATAAAATTTTGGCTGTAAAGTATATGTTTTAGTAGAGTAAAAAACCTCAGTTGCTTTTTATTTTGTTACATGTGGTATTTGGAGCTTTAGAATAATAAGGCATTCATCAGAATTGTAAATAGATGCACTTTGAAGCTGGCAGCAATGAATTAATTGTACATGATACTTATAAGCAAAACTGGGACACTTCGTTGGCTGTAAGGAAACTATTTGGTGCAAGATCTTTCAAAATGCATGTTTGACTAGGGAGCAATCTGTTACATGGTGAGCATTTTTGAGAAGGAACTCTGCTATCTAAAGCAAAAGCATGACTCAATATCATATGAATTGTCATGTGAGTGACCTCCGGTGCCTCTGACTAAAGTAATATTTGTTGATACATATAGTTCAGATCTCCTTGCATTTTAACAGTACTGATCTGCACCAAATTCAGTTGAGGATACCCATTGACTGTTCTCAGGAACGTTAATGTGCTTGAGAGTTTGGTAGTGATTTTGCAACTTAAGAGTGCATGTTTCATTTGATGTTGAAGTTCCTTAAATTGACAGTTGGTTTCTCCAGTTCTCTGATAAACATGTGGATGAGATGGTTGCTTAGAAGGCAACAATTTATATGACTTGTTTACTTAAACTCAAAATGAGTAAAGATTGCCTTTAATACTGTGCATGCATAAGGATAAGATGAGATGATGTTAAAACCCTGATGATGAAAGCGATTCATCTCATCTTGCTTAATATGGGATAAAATTATTGAATAGTTGGAGAGATGTTGACTGAATTTGACAATCTAAATGCATTTACAAAGAAGAAGAGAGTCATAGAGTTGCACAGCGTGGAAACAGACCCTTCGATCCAACTTGTCTATGCTGATCAGACATCCTAAATTAATCTAGTTCCATATGCCAGCATTTGGCCCATATCCCTCCAAATCTTTCCTATTCATGTATCCAGATGCATCTTAAATGTTGTAATTAACACAGAAACATAGAAGAGAGGAGCAGGAGGCAGCCATTCGGCCCTTCAAGCCTGATCCACCATTTTTCACGATCATGGTTGATCATCCAATTCAATAGCCTGCTTTCTCCCCATAACCTTTGATCCCATTCACCCCAAGTGCTATATCTAGCCACCTACAGGGAGAATGCTCCTGATGGTGGGTGTGTCCAGAACCAGGGGTCACAGTATGAGGATTCGGGTAGACCATTTAGGACAGAGGAGACATTTCTTTACCCAAAGAGTGGTGAGCCTGTGGAATTCATTTCCACAGGAAGTAGTTGATGCCAAAACATTGAATGTTTCCTCTCTGCCAACCAGTTCCCTGTCCATCTCAATACACTTCCCCCAATCCGATGCGCTTTAATCTTGCGCATTAATCTCTCACGTTAATTGTACCAGCCTCCACTATTTCCTCTGGCCTCATTCCACACACGCATCACCTTCTGTGTGAGAAAGTTGTCCCTTAGGTCCATTTTAAATTTTGCCCCCTTGCCTTAAACCTATTCCCTGTACTTTTGGACACCGCTACCCTGCAAAAAAGACCTTGGCTATTGAATCAGAGATCCAGCTCTGCACCTTGTTAGCCTTTCTGCTCCTATGATGCTGCTTGGCCTGCTGTGTTCATCCAGCTCTGCACCTTGTTGTCTCGGATTCTCCAGCATCTGCAGTTCCTACTATCTCCCCCTCTCTCCCTATTTATTTCAGAACCCCCTTCCCCTCCCCCATTTCTGATGAAGGGTCTAGGCCCGAATCGTCAGCCTTTCTGCTCCTATGATGCTGCTTGGCCTGCTGTGTTCATCCAGCTCTGCACCTTGTTACCTTGGCTATTGACCCTACTTATGCACCTCACAATTTTATAAACCTCTATAAGATCACCCCTCAGCCTCTGATGCTCTAGGGAAAATAGCCCCAAGTCTATTTAGCCTCCCCCTATCACTCAAACTCTCCAAACCCCGACAACATGTTTAAATTTTTTTCTGAATCTATTCAAGTTTAACAACATCTTTCCTATAGCAGGGAGACCAGAATTGCACGCAATTCCAAAAGTGGCCTGACCAATTCTCCTGTACAGCACCAACTTGACCTCCCACCTCTGATATTCAATGCACTGACCAATAAAGGCAAGTGTACCACGCGCCGCCTTCACTACCCTGTCCATGGGTGATTCCACCTTCAAGGAACTATGAACCTGCACCCCAAGGACTCTGTTCAGCAACACTTCCCAGGAACCTACCATTAAGTGTATAAGTCCTGCCCTGATTTGCCTTACCAAAATGCAATACCTCGCATTTATCTAAGTTAAACTCCATCTGCCACTCCTTGACTCATTGACCTATTTGATCAAGGTCCCATTGTAATCTGAGATAACCCCCTTCACTGTCCACTACACCACCAATTTTGGTGTCATCTGCAAACTTACTAACCATTCCTCCTGTATTCACATCCACATCATTTACATAAATGACAAATAGCAGTGAACCCAGCACCGATTTTTGTGGCACACCGCTGGTCACAGGTCTCCAGTCCGAAAAAACAACACTCCACACCACCCTCCTCCTCCTGTCTTCAAGCCAATTTTGTATACAAATGGCTAGCTCTCCCTGGATTCCATGTGATCTAACCCTGTGGAACATTATCGAATAAGAGTGAATTCTTTTATTTTGAAGAAATTGTTGCATATATTATAGCTTTTAAATGGTGCTTGGAGGCTCATGAAATATTTTATAAAAATGAGATTGTATATAATTACTGGATGGAAAAAAAAATTATTACTGGGTTGTAGACCTTGGTAGTCCAGAGATCAGTACTGAGAACTCACCTCTTCCTTTGAGATAGTTAGATGAACTGTTTTGTATCTTGATCTAGATTTGGGGATGGCCAAGAGGAGCAGATGGTAGTGGAATGTGTGAGGAGTGCGCTTCAGTGTTGAGAAATATGAGGTACATTTTGGAAGTGATAGGAAGTAAACCTTAAGCAGTAAGTTGCTTGTAAGAAGTGGAGTTATGAGATGATGTGAGGCCTCGGAGCAGGAGACATGGTTTTGGGTGGGCTTTTTCTTTTGGGCAGTACGTTTGTTCTAATATTATCCAGCAATATAAATATCAACCTGTTTTAAATAAATACAGATAGGAAAAGGTATATAGGCAAGTTAGATTCTGGGTTTTATACACACGTTTATACAAGTCGTGAATCAGTTAAATTCATATAAAGTTAATTAGTTGGCCATCAGTTGTGGTAGTGTCAGTAGATTTTTTTTTTCGCTACTGTGAATAGTAAACACCACTGTAGACCCAGCAGGCCATTGTGCTGTCATTAGAGAGAAGGTAGAGTTAACCTGAAGGTCACCAAGCCTCTAGCAAGGCTGAGAAGTTGGGCCTGTATGGTGACTTCATCTGGCAGGAACTGAACTCGCGCTGTCGGCGTCACTTAAACATAAGCACACCAGACCGCAGATTTGGTTTTAAAATCAACTGAAGTTTATTATGCAAAAGAAAGCAAATCAAGACAAAGCAAGCTATCTATCTAACACAGTTTAAAATATTTCAAATGCCCAGCAAAACAAAATCTCATCTATTCCCCAGTGCCATCACTTTACAATTAATCAAAATCCAGAGAATTTTCCCTTCTGTATGAAATCTGTACATTGACTTCCCTGCTTCTTTTCTGTTCCAGTCCTGTAAGCTGTTACAGCCTTTTTCTTTGTCTCTTACAACTGAGATGTTGACTTTTTCAGCTTTTAATAACCAGTGCTGATTTCTAATCAAATACTCATGGTCTGAAAGTTTCACAAACTGAAACCATTACGCTGAGGCTATTCTATTTCCTTTTCTGCTTTGAACAAGCTCCCTTTTTCTGGATGTAACTTCAGTCAGGTTTTCTTGAACTGAATTCAAAAGGTTTTAACTAAGATAAAATCATGCGCATTGTAACTTCTGAAGCTGATGGCTTAATGTTTTATTTCTCTCTTGTCATAAACCCTATCAAAATAAACAAACTTCCATTAACACTGCTGGAGGCCTTGTTATCTGCTTTCTAACACATTAAATTAAAATCATTGTTTCAAAAAGACTTAATTAGTTGATTATTAAACCCCTTTACTCACACAGACCAAACTACTAGTTTAAAATACAAACTTTAAAACATATAATTATCATACACTTTTCATCCCACAAGCAACAGCTTGGCATAGTTAATCTCACAGAATTATACTTGACAGGCAGTGTTCCAGACAGTACAATTACAATCCCTGATTATGTCCTTTACCACCGACAGGACAGACTGACCAGAGGTGGCAATACCGTGGTATACAGGCAGGAGGGAGTTTCCCTGAGAGTTCTTAATGTTGACTGCAGACACTATGCAGTGTCATGGCATCAGATCAGACATCGGCAAGAAAACTGCTAACTAACTATCATCCCCCTCAGCTGATGAATCAGTTTCCCATTTGCATGCCATTTGGAAGACACAGTTTAGGGTGGCAAGGATACAGAATGTACTCAGATTGGAGGAAGTCAGTGTCACTCAGCCAATTTGGTGAAGATCATCACTACAGATCATGGTGGTCAAGTCCTAAAGAACATAGCTGATAGACTGGGCCTGTGGCAGGGAGCCAACAAGAGGGGGAAATGGTGCTTGACATTGTTCTCACAACCTGTCACAGAAGCATCTGTCAATGATGCTATTTGCTGAGTAACCACTGCACAACCATTATGGGAAAACCAGTCCTGCTTTCACACTGAGGATAAACCTTTATGGTCATGTGTGGTACCACCACTATGCTGAATGGGATACATTTCAAACAGTGAAGTGCTGTGATTGTTGAAAGTCAATCATCTCAGCCATAGGACATCTCTCTCTGCAGGAATTCCTTAAAGTGGTGTTCTATGCTGAACCATTTTTAGCTGCTTCATCAACGGCCTTCCCTCCATCATACGGTCAATAGTGGGGATGTTCTCTGATTCCACAATGTTCAGCACCATTTGCAAATCCTCGGATACTGAAGCAGTTGTTCAAATGCACCAAGACCTGCACAGCATTCCAACTTGGGTTGTAATATGCAAGTAACATTCGCATCACAAGTCTTACAGCTTGGAAACAAGCACTTCTGTCCACGCTGACCATGTTCCCAAACTGAACTAGTCCCACTTGCCTGCATTTGGCCCGTATCCCTGCAAACCTTTCTTATTCATTAACTTATCCAAATGTCTTTTAAATGTTATAACTGTACCTGCATCCACTACTTCCTCTGACTGTTCATTCCACACACAAACCATTCTGTGTTTAAAAAAAAGTTGACCCTCATGTCTTTTTTAAAATGTTCTCCTCTCACCTTAAAATATGCCCCTGGTTTTGAACTCCCCATCCTAGGGAAAAAAAACCTTTGCTATTCACCTAATCTATCCCACTCATGATTTTATAAACCTCTGTAAGGTCACCGCTCCAGTGGGAAAAGTCCTAGCCTATCCAGCGTCTCCTTATAACTCAAACCCTCCATTCCCAGCAACACCTTGGTAACTCTTATCCGAAACCTCTCCAATTTAATAAAATCCTTCATCTAGCAGGGGGACCAGAACTGTGCACAGTACTCCAGAAAAGGCCTCATCAAAGTCCTGTACAATCTCAACATGAACTCCTAAACCCAAAAGTCTGAGCAATGAAGGCAAGTGTTAAACACCCTGTCTACCTCTGACACTGACTCGTTCTACTAAGAAAGAATCTAACCATCACCTCTTGACAAACGATAGCATTGCTTTATTTGAATCTCTCAGTATCACCATCCTGGGGCTAGAATTGATCAGAAACTGAACTGAATCAGCCATATAAATGCTATAGGAACATAGAAAATAGGTGCAAGAGTAGGATCTTCAAGCCTGCAGCACCATTCGTGGCTGATCATGCAGTTTCAGTAAGCCACTCCCACTTTCTCTCCATACCCCTTGATCCCTTTAGCCGCAAGGGCCAAGTCCAGCTCCCTCTTGAACGTATGTAACAAACTGGCCCCAACAGCTTTCTGTGGTAGAGAATTCTACAGGTACACAATTCTTTGAAGAAATGTTTCCTCACCTCAGTCCTGAATGGCTTACCCCTTATTCTTAGACTATGACCCCTAGTTCTGGACTCCTTCCCCTGCCGCCCCCCACTCAAAAAATCATCTGGGAATGGTTCTCACTCACCATTTCCCTGTAAACTGCTCTCTGTAAGGATCATGTTGAAAGGAAAAGCTAGCAGCTCCAGATCCCATGAATGAATTTTTAAAAATGTGGAGGAGATTACAGAGCAGTTGTTAGAGGCTTTAAAAAAATAAGTTTTGACGAAACCAACAATCAATTAGTTCTGTCTGTGGGTGAAATGGTAAAAGTAATGTTCTGTATTATTTACAAGCAATCCTGCTTAATCCTGTGATCAGATGTTTGCAATGGGCTTCAGTCAGGAAACTGTGTCCCTACTGCTTGTGATTTCTTTTTTTTCTATTCACTGAAGTTAATTTTGGGATCATCCCACTTTGTTCTGTTCCAAACAATATTGTATGTGCTATATACAGAAAGTTGTCAAAGGGAATTCATAAAGTTTCCACTCAATGCCCTTTGTCAGACGTTATTAACTTGTGACTTTGAAGTTATTGAGTTATTCAGTTTTCTTTCATTTTGGTTATTGAAATCATATTCATTTTCTAACTTTTTTTGTTGTATTTAGTTCTTACTTTGGCTATTTAATATTTCTCCCCTTTTTTGTTTTATTTATGTTTAGCAACTCGGTCGTGTAACCGTTTTCCAATTGACTATTTCAGGATTTAGTAGATTTGCTCGTGACTATCAATGGCTGTCTTTGAGTTTAATCATCAGACATTCCTGTTTTTTTTATATGAATTATGTACTATGGATGACCTAATTCAATTAAATTTACCAGTAATATGCTTCCTCTTGTGCTGTTAATTTTCAGCATGTTTAGACAAGGCATGCATGACTTGAAAGTTTGGCCAAATGTGGAAGCAGATGGGTCTGAGCCGACTAAAACAGCAGGCAGAACTAGCAGCAATGTATCTGAAGATCAGATGAGCCGTTTGGCAAAGGTAGGATTATTATTACACAAGCTAGTGCTTCATAGGTAAAGAAGTAAACAATTTTTGAAATAATTCTTATGAAACTGAGGGGCTAAAGGACTTATTTTATATGATGCTTTCTCCTGGGAACTTAAATTCATTGGAAAGTCATTCTACTGGGTTAAAAGCATATTGCAATCTTTGCTTGATTGTTTCACAATCACAAATTTTCCTGTACCGTTTTTAAATATTTTTTGATTAACTTTTTAGAAGTAATTGAAATCGAGAAAAACTGTGCCTATATCAATTATAAACGTCTGAAGTGTCCCCACAAACTTTCATTGATGTTGGAGTTCTGGATTTTACCCCTGTGAACTTCAAAAGTGTGACTGTGCTTAGCATTGCTGCCTCCCACTGCCAGGGACGTGGGTTCGATTCCAGCCGTGGGTGAATGTCTGTGTGGAGTTCGCACGTTCTCCCTGTTTCTGCATGGGTTTCTGCCGGGTGCTCCAGTTTTCTACTCAGAGTCCAAAGATGTGCAGGTTAGGTGCATTAGCCATGGTAAATGTGGGGTTATGGGGATAGGGTGTGTCTGGGTGGGATGCTGTTTAGGTGCAGACTTGATGGGCTCAAAGGCCTCTTTCTCCACTGTGGGGATTCTAAGATGGAGATGCTATTGGAGAAAGATAATGATTGTTGATCAAATCTTCAAATTTACAGATGCAAAACTAAACTATGTATTATCTAAGCAAGAATGGGTGAAAATATATTACGCTTCATAAAAGAAAATATTGAAAGCAACAAAAGCTAAATTAAACTTGGCAACAGTATTAAGAGAATTTTTGGCTTGCATTTTATCAGGAAAAAAAATTAAAGCTTATTTCATACCTAGAATAGTTCTTGCAGTTTTGGTCTCCTTTCCTGAGGAAAGATGCTCTTGCTCTTGAGGGAGTGCAGTGAAGGTTTACCAGGCTGATTCCGGGGATGGCGGGTCTGACGTATGAGGAGAGATTGAGGGGTGATCTCATAGACACTTATAAAATTCTAACAGGACTAGACAAGGTAAATGCAGGGAGGATGTTCCCAATGGTGGATGTGTCCAGAACCAGGGGTCACAGTCTGAGGATTTGGGGTAGACGATTTAGGATGGAGATGAGGAGACCTTTCTTTACCCAAAGAGTGGTGAGCCTGTGGAATTCATTACCACAGGAAGTAGATGATGCCAAAACATTGAATGTATTCGGGAGGCAGCTAGATATATCACTTGGGGCGAATGGGATCATAGGTTACAGGGAGAAAGCAGGATTAGGCTGATGAGTTGGATGATCAGCCATGATCATGATGAATGGTGGAGCAGACTCGAAGGGCTGAATGGCCTCCTCCTGCTCCTGTCGTTGTATGAACAACACACAAAGCAGACACAATTTTGGTTCATCGTTTTCGTTCTTTGTAATCTTGGCATGGCAGGTTTTTTTTGTGTGCCTTTATTTTCCCTGCTCTTTGCCCCTCTCCTTCAACCCCAGGAAGAGATTTGGGATGTTTGCTACACTCATTTTAAAATCACAGATCAAAATGCTTTTAAATTAAATTTGACCGAATGATTAGTAGAACAGACCATAAGAAAATAGGAACAGGAGTAGGCCATTTGACCCCTCATTTAGTAGGGATCTTGGCTGATCTGACACTCTTCACATCCACTTTCCTGCCCTTTCCGTTGATTCCACTGCTGACCAAGAATCAATCTATCTCAGCCTAAATATACACAAGGACTCTGCCCCCACTGCTCCCTGTAGCAAGGAGTTCCAAAGACACTCAACCCTCTGAGAGAAGAAATTCCTCCTCATCTCAGTCTTAAATTGATGCCCTTAATACTGAAGTTATGCCGTCTGATCCTAGACTCTGTCATGAGGGAAAACATCCTCTCAGCATTTACCCTGTCAAGCCCCTTAAGATTCCTATATGTCGCAATGAGGTCACCTCTCATTGTTCTAAATTCCAATGAGTAGAGTCCCAGTCTGTTTAATTTTTGCTCATGAGACAGTCCCTCCATACCAGGGATCATCCTAGTGAACCTTCTCTGAATGTCTCCAATGAAATGATATATGTTCCCTTAAATAAGGGGACCAAAACTGCTTTCAGTACTCCAGATATGGTCTCACCAGCACCTTGCACAGTTGTAGTCAGACTTCCCTACTCTAATACTCCAATCCCCTTGAAATAAGGAACAATTTCCATTAGCCTTCGTGATTATCTGCAGCACCTGTGTGCTAGCTTTCTGTGTTTTTGTGTGCAAATACTCCCAGGTACCTATGTGTTGCAGCTCTTTGCAGTCTTTTTTGTCATTTCAATAGTCTGTTTTTTTATTCTTCATTCCAGAGTGAACAACTTCCTGTTTTCCCAATCCTCGAACTTGCTGTCCACTTATTTAACCTAGCAATCTCTTTGTAAACTGTTTGTATTCCTCTTGCAACCTGTCTTTTCACCTATTTTAGTGTCATCGACAAATTTTGGCGAAAGTACATTTGTTTCCTTCCTTCAAGTCATTGATCTATATTATAAACAATTGCAATCCCAATATATTCCCTTTGGAACCCCACTGATCACTGATCACCAACCTGAAAAAGAACCCCTTATCCCTACCCACTGTATCCTGCTGGTTAGCCAATTCACTATCCATGCTAACATATTACATCTAACACTGGGCTTTTATGACCTAATGTTTTGAGGTATCTTGTCAAGTGCCTTCTGAAAGTCCAAATACAACACATCTTCTGGTTCCTAGACAAAAACTGAAAGAACTGCAGATGCTGTAAATCAGGACCAAAAACAGAAATTTCTGGAAAAGCTCAGCAGGTCTGGCAGCATCTGTGAAGAAAAAAAAATCAGAGTTAACATTTCGGGTCCAGTGACCCTTCCTGAGAACAGTTCTGCGTTTTTCCGAGTCTGTTTAACTTTTGCTCATGAGACAGTCCCTCCATACCAGGGATCATTCTAGTGAACCTTCTAGGAATGTCTCCAATGAAATGATATATTTTCCCTTAAATAAGGGGACCAAAACTGCTCACAGATATGGTATTCCAGATATGGTCTCACCAGATGCTGCCAGACCTGCTGACATCTTCTGGTTCCCCTCTGTTCACTCTGGTTAAGACTTACTTGAAAAACTCTAATGAATTAGTTAGACATGATTTCCCTTTCATGAAGCCATGCTGATTTTGATTACGTTATGATTTTCCAAATATTTTGCTATTTCTTAGTAATTGATTCCAATACTTCCCCAGCAATAGATATTAGGCTAATTGGCCTATAATTACCTGTTTTTTGCCTCCCTCCCTTTTTGAATATGGGTATCACGTCAGCAGTTTTCCAATCCTCTGGTGGTACCTTGGAATCCAAGGACTTTTAGAACATTATAACCAATAGGAGAAGGACAGAAAGATCAGTGACACACAGTTGTGGCAGTTCATGTTGCAGATGTTGATGAATTGTTTTGATTCAGTACCTTTTGATTCTTTGAGGACACAAGGTTATATGTACAACAATTCTCAATCTTTCTTTCACTTGTTGAAGATTCTCCCTTCCTGTGTTTCTGAACATGGTTTTTCCTCTTTTTCCTCTCAAAGATGTTGAGGTAAATGGTGCGTGAGAATAGCTACCAGGAGATTTTCTGTTACTTCACCCTACAGGAAGGAGAGAGAGATGTTTAGATGCTTTCTCTTTGCACACTGGATGCTTTGTTCAAACAGACTTGGCCAGGAACTAATCAAGACGTTATGCTGAACACTCCTGAACGCACGCAACTTGTCCTGATTGAGAAACTAAACAAAGCGCTGTCTCTGGGCAAAACTGACTGAAACAAATAGTCACAGAGCAGACGCACCTGGCATTCTCCTCCACTGCTTGAAGGAGGCAATGATTGTGGATACAGTTCTGAATGAGTTCCAGTAACTCATTTTTTTAAAACTGCAACATCTTCTTCCACAGTTTCCTTGTTTAAAGCAGCGTCTGTTTTAGTCCAATGGTCAAATAAGTGGTCTTTTAATTTGTGGATGCCAGAGACAAAAGCACAACAAATTTGATTGAATAATCAATGGGTTGCCTCTCTCATGTGGGGTCATTATGCAGGCATACTTGTTGGAGGCTGGCTGATTCCCTCTAGGAAGTGAACCTCAGTTTGTTTCGTGTTTGCTTGCCTGTGAAGTTACAAATAGCAGTATTTCTCATGAATCTCAACCATGGGTAGTAAAAGTACGAGGAATAAAAGAAAGATCATCAGAGAGTCGGAGTGAATGTTTCCTGGACTGAAGAAGCAATGGTGAACACCAGCTATAGGTACTTACTGCTGCTTTTCTTGATATCTGCTAATGACTTGTACTTTGCAATTCAGAATACAGCTTCAGAATTTTCAGAAGGAAGTAAAGGAAGAAAACTTGGAAGTATATTGAACTGAGAGAAAAGTGGTAGACCACAGGAGGAAGATGAGTGTGTAATGGGTGGGTCTGTGGCTAATGAAATTTAATGCAACAACTGTGAAGTGGTACATTTTTGTTTGGACAGACATGACAGTATAAAGCAAAAGGACGCGATTCTAAATGGAGTGAAGGAACAAAGAGATCTGAGAATTTAGTATGTGTTAACAAGTTGGTGAACGTAGTTACGCACTTTGGGGAAAATACTTAGGAAGGAATATGGAAACCTGAGCTTACAAGTAGAGGTACAGAGAATATGGGCAAGAAAGTCATGATGAACCTTTTTCAAACTCTGATTTAGCCTCAACTGGGGTATTGTGCCCAATTCTGGGCATCACACTTCAAGTTTGTTAAGTGTTGTGAATGAGTGAGTTAAGTTATGACACGTTGATGAAACGTGGTAGTTATTCTTAAAGAAGAGAAGGTTGACAAATTTGGTTTGAGGTGTTCAAAATCTTGAGGTCTAAACTGAGTGAATTGAAACTGTTAGCATTGGCATAACTATTGAAAATGAGAGGGCACTGATTTAAGGTGATTGCCAAAAGAATCAATGGTGACGAG